TATACATTATAATTCATATCGATCTACTTCCTTTTTAGTTGAAGCAACCTTTAATTAGATCTCAGTTTGCTTGTACTTATAAAGATGATCAAATAATCAAGCCAAAGAATCAACCCTTCGTTTCATCTCCAGTCCTAACATATGTATACTCAGCACTCCAAAAAACGGCAGCTTCTCATACAGATGACAGATCAACTTCAGGTAAATTCAGTCAGCAATATCTACTTTTCTGCCCCCTCATTTATTGACCAGAATGAATATATACGCTGTCAGTTAACTGAATACCCCCCAAATAAATGAAATAATTGCTATACAAATGTAGAAATAAATGATTTACTTGACATATCTCAGCACCTGCATTGGCTGATCAGGTGCTACAGGAAGCCCAGAGCAAGGCATGATGGTGGTCAATCTTTCCCTGTCAAGTGCCCTCTACAGTTGATACTCAATGTTAAGTTGCCTCTGAATCTATCAGCTCTTTGTAGTCAGCATGCACTTACCTAGTTATTTTATTTTATTTTGTTGCATTTATTTAAAAAGTCCTGCTTTCCCAAAACTGTAGGCAGTCTTTCCCTCTGGCAACTTAACTTAATGTCAAGAATGGGAAAATCAGGAAGTCCAGATGACTATAAAGATTTATTGTAAGCTTATGATCTCTACAAGAATCTGAACTACTAATGTCAGAGCAAATAGGCAGTAGATAAGAGTCAATGGAATTCAAAGTAGGCTGGTCTTAAATCCCTTGTGGGAAGGGACTTGAGACTAATGATGCGTTTGACCTCTCCCTCATTTCCCATACTTTCTTTACAATGGTAATATGAGTGTGATCAATATTGTCCTGAAATCACCCATAGTTCTAAATCTGAGTGAAAATTTAGATCTTTACTACTATTTTGCAGCAAAAAATGTGCCATCTTTGTAAAAAAGACAAGTTTTGTAAAAAAACAACAACACCAAGTTAGAGTAATTTTTGGTTTGCTACATTCTAGCGACAAAGTATACCACAAAGATCTTGTTGCTACTTCTAGAGAGGTCTGGGACACTGTTATTTTCTACGACCTACAACAATTGTAGGGCAGAAAAAATACAAAGATTTGCTGTCCAAGGAGTGACAAGGACATAGTTGGTGAAATCACCAAAGGGCAAAACCATAAAGCTGATGGCATGCCTGGCAGATCATTTTGTTTTAATTACTGCTGAACTGTGTTACTTGCTTGTTGGTTGTCTTTCAAGAGCTAATTATTGGCAGTAGATGATAGCATGATGTGGCCTGGGCGAGAGGAGAGAGAGAGAGAAAGAGAGGTAATATGGGGTGGATGGAAATATGTCTGTTCTGGGCCCAGTGCTCTTCAACATCTTCATCGACGATTTGCACGAGGGGATAGATGGGGAACACATCAAATTTGCAGACGACACCAAGCTGGCAGGAATAGCCAACACTCCAGAAGACAGGCTTAAGATACAGAAGGACAGACTTGAACGCTGGGCACTATCTAACAAAACAAAATTCAATGGTGAAAAAAGCAAAGTGCTACATTTAGGCAAGAAAAACCAAATGCATAGGTATAGTGTAGGGCACGGGTCGGCAACCCGTGGCTCCGGAGCCGCATGCGGCTCTTTGAGCCATCCCCTGCAGCTCTGGAGCCTCCCCCCGCCATTTTCAGAGAGAGACAAGGAGAGAGAGAGGCACCTGCACTTTCTCTCTCTCTCTTTCTCTCTCTCTCGCTTTCTCTCATGTGGACTTGCCCCCACACAAGGCTCCTAATTGGCCCTGCGCCCGGGTGCCCCACCCCCTGGGAGAAGGGTGGCCAGGAAGTCCCTTTCCCGGGCTGACCCCTTCTGAGGCGCACGTGGCTGGGGAGCCATGTGGGGAAGCCCCGAGATCCCCACTGGGAGCAACCCGCCCAAGCCTCGGCTGAGCGGCCCAGCCCTTCCACAAACCGCAGCCCCGAGGGAGAGCAGCCCCTCCGATGCCCAGCCGGTGCGACTGTTGGCCAAGCAGCAGCAGAGCTGGAGACAGAGGGTCAGTGGTGGGGGGAGGGAGGGGGCTCTGAGTCCATGGAGCACTGCTGTGAAGCAGCCTCAGGGCAAGTGGCCCCCCCAGCTTACTTGTTCCAGGCAGCAGTCTCGGCTGAGGCATCGCTTCCTGGGCCATCCCCGGGCCGCTCCCTGGGCAGCCGAGCCAGCCACATTTCTCCCTGGGCCGGGCGGAAGTCATGACTGGTGCGGCGGCCAGCGGGGGCATTGCACCCCAGGAAGCCGAGCCGGCCACATGTCTCCCCAGGCCAGGCCGGGTGGCAGTCATGGCTCGGGCGGTGGCCAGCGGGGGCTGCCGTAGGGCTCTCCATTGCTCGGCCCCATCGGTGGTGCCTTTTTTGGCTGCTTTCGGGGAGCCGCCGCCGCCCTCGGTGCTGCAGGAAAAAAACCTTGAGCTGCGAGGGTGGCGGGGCCGGTGGCGATTGGGACCCACCCTTGTCCCCGTGGCGGCACTCCCCGTTGGCGCAGCCACCCATGGTGCACCTGGCCTTGGCGCCCTCCGCTTGCGACGGCAAAGTGGCTGAGGATGCGGGCGTGGTGGCTGGACTGGTGGTGGCGGGGGACCCGACGATGCTGCAGTGGCCGCCGCCGGAGCCACTGCCTCCCGTCTCCCCCTCCCTGTCCGTTTGGCTGAGGACACAGCAGCCGGGCCGGGGGTGGCAGGGACCCCTGACGATACTGCAGTGCCGCCGCCGGAGCTGCCACTGCCGCCACCAGAGCTGCTGCCTCCCGTCCTGCTCACCATCCCCGCCCGTTCGGCTGAGGACGCGGCAGCAGTGGCAGCTGGGAGCCGCTGCCTCCCGCCCTGCTCCCCCTCCCTGTCCGTTCAGCGCCGTCTGCCTTTCGTTCTCTCTCTCCTCACCTGGAGGGAGAGGTAGAGAGGAAAGAGAGAAAGAGGAAAGAAAGAGGAAAAAGAGAAGAGAAAGAGAAAGAAAGTTAGAGGAAAGAGGAAGGAAAGAGAGAGAAAGGAAAGGAAAGGAAGAGAAGAGAAAGAGGAAAGAGAAAGAGAGGAAAGGAAAGAGAGAGAGGAAAGAGAAAGAGAGAAGAGAGAGAGGAAAGAGAAAGGGAGAGGAAAGAGAAAAAGGAAAGAGGGAGAGGAAAGAGAGAAAGAGAGAGGGGGAGAGGAAAGAGAAAAAGAGGAAAGAGAAAAAAAATAGAGAGGAAAGAGAAAGAGACGGAGAAAGTTAGAGGAAAGAGAGAAAGAGGAAAGAGAAAGAAGAGAAAGAGAGGAAAGAGAAAGTTAGAGGAAAGAGAAAGAGAAAGAAAAGAGAAGGAGAGGGGAAAGAAAGGAAAGAGAAAGAGGAAAGAGGGAGATGAAAGAGGGGGAGAGGAAAGAGAAAAAGAGGAAAGAGAGAAAAGATTGAGAAAAGAGAAAGAGAGAGACAGAGAAAGAGGAAAGAGAGAGAGAAAGTTAGAGGAAAGAGAGAAAGAGGAAAGAGAGAGACACCCCTTTGACATCTAAAATGAAGATAACACTGCATATATCCTTTTTTACCTTTATTTTATATATACACACACAAACATACGCGCGCACACACACACACACATATTAAAGGTAAAAAAGAATATATGCAGTGTTATCTTCATTTTAGATATCAAAAGAGTGTTGCGGCTCCCAGTGTTTTGTTTTCGGTGGGAAACATGTCCAAGTGGCTCTTTGAGTGTTTTGGGTTGCCTACCCGTGACCTAGAGCATGAAACACAGGCAATCAAATTTTTAAGATTTGAAAATAACATTGCTTATTGCTGTTTTAGGGCATTTTCTTTGTTTGATTTTAGAGGTAAATAACTGAAACCTCATTGAAAGTGCTGCAAAAAATATCTTGGATGTAAACTTAATGAACATTGATACACTGCAGCAGTTCCCGTAATCATAAAAGCTTATGCAGTTATCAGTTCATTTATTTTGAACATTTCCAAGACTCTGCTGTTGTTTTCTCTGAATTAATATCTGCTGCCGCCTGTATCATTACGAGATTGACTGTTCGTATTTGTCTAGCTAAATGGCTGATAAAGTATACTTGGGACTCCTAAAGAGTAAAGGGTAATACCTTTCAGTGATTGGACACTGCATCAAAATCCTATTAATATTTTGCAATAATTTGCACATGCTTTTAAAATGAATGGTTTCTTGTACTCTTGTTTTTTAATACGTTTATTTTCTGAAGTGGTTACTGAAATGTGTTTTATGTCAAGGGCGATGGCTCAGATTGTATAATGTTTTCAAATAATTATTTCTACTAATAATTCTACTAATTATTCTACTAATAATTATTTCTACTAATTAGACTTAGTTAACTGAATGTACAAGAACACTGTCTCTTTTGAAAATTATCAGTGGTGACTAGTGTACAACAAAAACAATTTTAAAAATAATGTAGTCTTTTCCCCTTATAAAATGTTTTGTTTTCTTAACCATCAGAAAGCCTGAATTCATCACTTGAAAATTCTACACTTGGAACTGGTTCTGGAAGTGTTTGTCAGAATGGAAGGACAAGAAAAGAAATAGGAAAATTAAGTTGCCAGACAGAGAACGAGAACCCAAAGAGGAAGCTGGTGGACAGAACCAGTGAAAATGTCATATTCACTAATGAAAATGAAACATCACAGCATATATACCATAAGAAACCAAAGACTGCGGTGAAATGCCAAAATAGTTTGGACAGCAAATTAAAAGAAACCAGAAAATCCAAAAAGGCCATACCCAAAAATAAGCTTATTATTGGGCAAGCGAAACTAACTCAGTTCTTTAGGTTGTAAATGCCAGTGGATTGAAAAGACAAAAAATTGACTTGTATTAAGTTTCCCATTGCAATCATGATTACGCAGACGTTTTATATATACTGTACTTGCGAAATTAAATCATCAACTTTTATGCAGAATTCACAGTTTAATAATGCACTGTAACTTTACACTTGTACATGTTGCATTCTGACATAGAAATATTTAGAATCTCTACAAACACAGCAATATTTTAACCACAACTACAGTTTCTATGACTTATGAAGGAAAGGGTTTGTCTCTTCCAAGTGATGCACTTCAGGGTCATTTTAGGCTTGCCAACAAGGTCGATAGACTCTTCCCAGCATACATCTGAGCACTAAAGAAAACACCAAAAATTTGTAGTTTTGACTGTCAAGTACATGCTTTTATAAACAAGTTTAAATACATTGTCATCTATTATGGCATGTTGTAAATTTTCACTTGTTTGAATTTTTAACTCATTTTTTCTAATAAATGTTTAGAAAACGTGTTATCTTTTTTATCTTACATTTAACCAGTCACTCTTTTTAAAAGACTGAGTGGAACCCTACAATTTTTAAAGACTGAGGGAAAAAAACCCAACCCAGCATATTCTGATGATTGATTGTATATTTGCCCTTTGATTATAAAAAGGTGGCAGCTCAGTATAGTTTTATCTGTGTACATTTGTAGAGATGAAATTGAATATACAAGGGTGAAACACTGGTTTATTCCTGCACAGGTTTAAGCTAAAAAATTAGCTGGTTTCTAAGGCAACCCAAGTCTTCAGGAGTTTGAGAGAGAAGCTTGACTACCTTTTGTGTGAATGCATTGAAAAAGATGATGAAAAAAGACAGCTCACTGTTAAGCCAACTTAGGAAAATTCTTATATTTGGGCACCTGGACAATGGAACTAACCTGGAGGCATCAGTCTGCCAATTCTCTTTCTCTCTGGCTGGATGCTCCTTGCAACTTCCACCACTGGCCCAGCAGCATGAGGAATGCTGACAAATTAAAGTGGCCCACAGCTGCTATTATAGCTTAGGGACAACTGCCCAAAAGGAAATGGTGGGCAGCATGTGCCACGCTTATGACCACAATTGAGCCCAAAATTTCTGTGGTTAAGTGAGACATTTGATAAGTAGATTTGCTCCATTTTATGGCCTTGTTACAGTTGTTAAGTGAATTCCTGCAGTTAAGTTAGTAACCCAATTGTTAAGTGAATCTGTTTTCCCCATTGACTTTGTTTGTTGGAAGGTCTCAAAAGGTGATCACATGACCTTGGAATACAGCAACGGTCATAAATATGAACCAGTTGCCAAGCATCTTAATTTTGATCACATGATCATGGGGATGCTGCAAAAATTGTAATTGAAAAATGGTCACAGGTAACATTTTTAGTGCCGTTGTAACTTTGAATGGTCACTACTTGTACTGTAGATCACCTAGTCCATTGGTGGCAAACCTATGGCACGCGTGCCAGAGGGGGCACTCAGAGCCCTCTCTGTGGGCACGTGCGCCTTGCTCTTTGGCTAGGTTTTCGCAGGAAAAAGCCATTTCTCAAGCCCCTTCCTAGCCAAATTAAGCCTCCGGAGCGAGCACGCTGTTTTCAGCTTTGAATTATATCAAATCTGACACCAAAAACTGACTTAATAGAAGACCTGAATGCTGCATGTGTTCTCAAATTTACAAAGTATAAGCCAAGGTTAGACAAATTATCAGCAAGCATACAACAGCAAAAATCACATTAATTGTTCAAAAGCATGCCAAATGCAAACTTTTACCTTTCAGTAAAAAGTTGTTTGTATCATTGAAAGCTTTGTTATTGTGTTTTTCTTTTAAGACAAAAGATGTTAATGTATGAGTTGTTTTTTCTAAACTAAAACCTCAGTATTCAGATTAAATTGCTGTGTTGGCACTTTGCGATAAATAAGTGGGTTTTGGGTTGCAGTTTGGGCACTTGGTCTCTAAAAGGTTTGCCATCGCTGACCTAGTCACATACGTCAGTGAGTATAACCAGCTGAGAAATTTGAGAATTTGCCTTGAACTCTACCTAGATTGCTGCTGCTTATCATTGGAGAAATGGTGGCCACAGTTATTCATTTCAACAGTTATAATTACTATTTCAGCAAATTAAGGTAATATTACTGTTTTGCAACAACATGAAAATATAACTTACTATCAAAATCTCTTCTTCCAATAGGCAAGTTAGGCGAGTTTTCATCACTTCCTGTCTCACGCCGATCTTGTATTGATTCAATATTTTCAACCTCAGCATTTGATGGAAAAGTCATAGGTTGCTCCAGTTCAAAATAAGGAAGCTGCTTAACACTTAGGCTTTGTGGCTGGCCATAGTTAATGTCATGTTTATAACCTATATTCTGCACTCAAAAGAAAAGTAGAGATGAAGATAATGCAAAATATTCAAAATAAAAATATTCTAGACCTTAACCCACTAATGAGTCATTTTCAGAAAAGAGTTATCTTCTGATTGCAGCATAATCTATCTTGAAATTTAATTTTTAGCTTAAAATCAAGAGTAAAACCAGGTTATTTTCAAAGTAAGACATATCTTAATACATATCCCAGGGATGTTAATACTAAATAACATTGGTTTGTTTAAGTTTAATGAGGCCAAAATCTCCTTAAAGGATTTTTTCTTTGTAAATTTAAGTATTGATGATAAGAGCAGCATTCAGATTTGTTATTAAACTAAAGCTGAAAGGCATGTATTTCATTTAAGCTCTTAAGACTGAAAATACAATATAATACAATATTAACATTTTCAAATGTAATTCAAAGCACAGCATAGCACAGCATTCTGTTTTCTTTGATTTTAGGATGATAGCCACTTCAAATCATATTTCATATTTTAATTATATAACAATAGCAATAGCACTTAAACTTATATACTGTTTCACAGTGCTTTGCAGCCATCTATAAGCGGTTTACAGAGCCAGCATATTGCCCCCAACAATTTGGGTCCTTATTTTACTGACCTTGGAAAGATGGAAAGCTGAGTCAATCTTGAGCTGATCAGAATTGAACTGCTAGCAATCGGCAAAGTTAGCCTGCAATATGCATTCTAACCACTGCACCACCATAGTTATATATTGGCATATCTGAAATAATCTATCCTAATGTTTTGTTACAAATTTATGATCCAGAATGCTAATTTGTGTTACACAATAGCTATCCAGAGAAAACTCACTGAGAAATGTGGGTTTCGGTCTTCATCCAGAAAACTGCTGTCCTCCATTTTATAACGCTCAAAAGATTTTCCAGCTTTGTCACCATTCTGTGTTATCTTTCCAAGGCTGAATGTGCTTAGCAGCATATTATCTTCTGCTTTTCTCATAGACTTAGAAACAGAAAGCAAAGACCCTTGAGACAAAAGAGAAAAAATTAATAGTAATACATGGGATGAGATACACATTCTCCAATGTTTAGATGTTTGCATGGAAGTGAAGAAACTTTAAATATTACTTAAATGAGGCTAATTTGAAAATAGCGCATGGTCAGAAAAAAGGTATTATATAGCTTGTGGACTGAATAGATACCACTTCAATGGCTTACACCTTTTTCAAAGAACTATGAGTAAAGAAGACTGACCTTTTGTATATCATTACATGTCTTTTGTTCCAAACCGTAGGTGATGAGCTGCTTTTCAATACATTCATTATATACCTTGGATTATCTTACCAAATGCCACAGGACAATTTTCTTCTGAGTTTTAAATTAATCTTTAAATTCCACTTCACACAGTCTCAGGAAAGAATTAATTTGTGCATGTGTTGAAAAAAGCAGAGAATCTTTATTATTCATTCTTTAAAAACAGACTTCTTGAGAAGTAAGAGAAAAACAGTCTCTGTGAGGAAAAGTCTTAAGCAATTAAGTTTTATCTTAAAGAGAATTCAAACCTCTTTGTACTTATCCAGACAAAAGTTTCATACATGGGCATAAAAATAAGGGATCATAGATATAATTTTAAATATGTTAGACATGCTTTAATTTTAATTAGATGCCATGACTCCTGTTTCCTTAGGGAAGAATATTATTTAAACAAACGAGTTGCAAAGCCCACCTTATAAGTGTTCAGAGGAGACAGATTTGATATAGGAATAGTGACAAGAATGTGGAATAAGTTGGCTTTGTGTCTGTCTAATGTTTTTCTCAAGCACCTTTGTCTGAGATTTTGAATTGTTCCACCCTTGCTCCACAAAGGAATAAACATGTGAAAAGGCACATGGAGGAGCATTTCTGGAACAGAATTCAAAAATATTGATCTTCATTTAGAATACCCCATCCTTATGCAATGCATAGTTTTTATCTTGGAAACTTGGCTGCAACTCACTTGGATATTTTCAGTAACACTGTCAGGATTGTGAAATTTCCTTAGCATAACTGCCTCTCTGGTTTGTTTCAAGAAAGATGTAAAATCTTATTTTCACAATCTAGTCTTTTCCCCATAAAATCTGGGTTTGACTTTTGGACTTTTAAGTTTATGGCATGTTTGATATACATTTGAGGTCTTGATTATTTATTGTCCTTTGGTTGTAATTTATAATTTATCTACATGGTAACTAAGAGTCAGTATCAACCTGATAGCACGTTATTATTCAGTTGGTTGTGATCTATTTTTGCAGTGATTGTTGCTGATGTTTGAAGAGCACAATATTCAAATATGACAAAAACATTTTTTACAAGTTTCTCCTTAGAGAACTTCTGGCTACAGATTAGAAGATATCAAACAGTAGAATAAGTCAAAGAATATAGGAATAATTCAAGTAACGGCATCTGAATTAACTGTACTAAGCTTCAATCAGACATTCAATAAAGAATGTACATACCAGTTTGCACAAATAATGAATAAAGACAAAAAAGGATGATTAATTAAATTAGATATTTAAGGTCTTATTCAGTAGGCTGGAGGGGAAAAATACAAGGCTGTCAAACAAGCTGGTGGATGGACTCAGATTGGCAATGGATGTGCTTTTGGAAGATCAAATTAGGTACAGATCATCATGGAGGATATTTATGTGCTCACTAAGAGTTAACATTGAGTTGATGTTACATAATCAACAAACATGGATCATAAAACAGTACATTTTAAGCCTGAAATGTGACTGTGAAATAGATCACGAACTACTCATTTGCATGTTCCAGTTAAAACTAAGGCAAAAGAATAATACTAACATTTTGAACATATACCCTATCAATTTTAGAGAGGACTTCCAGAATCTCTTTGAAGTGCTGAATTTCAGTGATAGGACAGGAACTGTGGAATGAAATCAAATAAATTGTTAAGGACGAAAAGGGACTGCCAAAGACCTAGATACAAAAGATAGCAAATTGGATGTCAGAACAAATGGTAAAAATTGCCAAGAAGAAAAGGGAAATCAAAGCCAAGAAAGACAAAGGTCTCAGGAAGGAACTTAAAGAATTTCAGACAGCTGTTAGATGAGAAGCCGTCATTTAATAACATCTGTAAAGACACTGAAAATGGCAGCATACACAGAAAACTAGGAAAATCTTCTAAAAGAGCTCATATCCTGCAACCTTGAACTTATATGCTAAAGAATGGTAATGGAAAGATGGTCACTGATTTAAAAAGAGTAAATCAGGATGGAAGGAGTATACTAAAATTCTATGACATTAAAGATTTCACCATCTAAGATCTTATTCAATGGGCTATTCTCTACAGGAAATCCTTGCTTAGTGACCATTAAAAGTTACAATGGACCCCAAGAAAGCTACTTGTGACCTAGATCTGAAGTTCTGATGCCTTACTACCACTTGGTCATATTATTTCATTTTGGATGCTTAGCAAATAAATCACATTAACATGACTGTGATTTATGATCTCTTTTGGTGAAACCAGAGTTTATTTCCAGTTTTCACCAAAACACCAATTGTGAATGATGGGTTCCCATTACAGCCACTGCATCTGCTTAACATTAAAAATATGTAAAACCAAGTTGGTCATGTGATGACTTAATGATCATAATTCTAGCTCAATTATGATCATAAGTCAAAGACTACCTATACATATAAGTACTACTACTGTGGTCATTACCAAACTGGAGAGCTTCTTGGTATATGTTTTATCATAACCATCACAACCTGATTTTGTGACCTTTTTTTGTGACAGTTGTTAAGTGAACTTGGTTGCAAAGTGAATGCTGTGGTCATTAAGCAAACACCATGGATGTTAAGTGAATCAATGATTTGCACAGTTTTACAAAAAACCAGAAGTGAATGCAGGTTTTGGCAAAACTCATAAAACATAGTCACGTGACTATAGGGCATCGCAAGTTGCTGAATGCCTGAAGTTGGTAACACAAACACAATGAAGTCTATTGTTGAAACTTTAAATCCAGGTCATAGGTGGCACCCGAGTAAGCTTCATCATAACCTCCAACCCTAATCTAAACTCCCTAGAGGAGGTTTGGCTTTTTTGTGTTCCTCAAAAGGAGCTATTAAGCATATTGTTAGATTCATACAGAACAATATCCAAAAGGTGGATAGGATTCAATATAAAACATTTTTGCCTCCAAAACAGTTGTTGAATAATGTTACTAAGGTAGCATCCAATACTGGCACATAGAGTATAATAGTTTTGTCCCAGAGGCCTAAATTTCAACATAATCCCCTTTCCTGCTTAGATTTCACAAATATTCTTTAGTATGAAGAATTCTAACATTAAATAGTAAACCAAAATTATTCAAAAAAAGTAAAAATGGCATATTTCTTAAAAAAAAAGCAGTGGCCATTTTCCTAAAATAAATAAGTAGAGAAAGATCAATATTAATAAACATAGTGTTTCAGCAAATGTAGTCTACATTACCATGTATAGTTTTGTATTTTTTGTAATCCTTTGCAATTTCCTTTTCTCTGGATTAATCATTTATAGCCCAGAACTATTAAGAGTACTTTAGTACTTTATGAAAGTAAAATATTTCCAAAGTAAGCCAGTTTGTTCTAAGAATTTCTGTCTATGTACTTACTGCGAGTCATTCTTGGTAAAAATAAATAAAATAAATACTCTTTTTGAACCGAAGTTCATGGCAGCAAGAGAGATTCCGAGATTCTGAGTTCTTGTTTTGAAGATTTCAGAAGAAACAAATTGGCACAAACGTCATCTAAAGACATTTTTTAGGGCTCACTCTCCTCCCTCTTCATAATTTAAATATCCAGTTTTCTTGTATTGCAGTTGCTTTTGAGGAGGTGTAGTGGTGGTAGGGAATATGTAACTTACAGCGATCTTGGGCCAAACTCAAAACTGTCTTGCAATCAGTGAAAAACAAGCAATGCTAAAATACATATGCTAGGTTTTCTAAAAGCACATGGCTACTACTAAACAGTTGTGGACCACTGTAGCCTAGTACAGATAGACCTCGATTTATGACCATAATTGAATTGAGGATTATGATCATAAGTCATGCCAATCGTTAAATAGGTCACCATATGACTGCATCTACCGTAGTTTTATGACTATTTTTGTGGCAGTTGTTAAGCAAATCCATTTGTAATTTGCAATCATGTGATAGTGGGACGCAGAAAATAAGGGCTGATTGCTCAGCCTCCAAAATATGATCATTTGACCATGGGGCAGCTATCAGTGCTTTGAATCTGGGTCATAGGTAGCCCTGGACATGGGGAGACGGTTCCTTTGTAACTTCAAATGGTCATTAGGTGACGTGTCCTAAGTCGAGAACACTTGTAGTTATTATCTAACATCTTTCATATGTTATAACATTCACTAAAGGACAGATAAAATTTCTTTCTTCAATATCTTTCTTCTTTCTTTCTTTCTTGGAATTAGTTTCCAAGAAACTAATCAAGGAGAGAAGCAACCTGGAATTAAGGAGAATCTTCCTAACAGTGAGAACAATTAACCAATGGAACAGCTTGCCATCAAAAGTTGTGGGTACTTTATTATTAGAGGTTTTTAAGAAATGAATCAACAGCCACCTATCTGAAAGGGTACAGAGTCTCCTGCTTGAGCAGGGGGTTCGACTAGAAGACCTCCAAGGTCCATTCCAGTTCTATTCTGATTGAAATATATGTTCTTTGAGAACTCATACTAAGCTTCATATTGCCAAATAACTGAAGATAGGCTAATGTTGAGATGATTATAAGCAAGCAAACCTCAAGAGATCAACTTTCCCCACATAGTTTAATATACTTCCCATTCATTTGGGATGGGTTCATATACAGAGATGATTTTGCTCATTGCAAAAGCTGTGCTGAATTAAGAGCAAAGATACATCAGTACAGTTGCAAACAAATATGGAATGCAATTCCCTCTTCAGGCTATTGTCACATGTAGCATATTCTGAAATAGAAATTTGTGAATTTACATGGCCTTACGAGGTTATTGTGACTCATTGAACCAGGTTTGTATTATACTTAGTTTCTAACTAGGAACAATCCAAGAATCCATGTTTAATAAATGGGACTAAATGATTTGATTTTAATTAGGTCAGGAACCTCTCACATCAGAAAGAAGGAAGCAGGGTGGGAAAGGAGAAAAACTGTTCTTACAGAGATGTTTTCCTTCAGCATGTTTGAGCTGGTAGATTTGAAAGTGAGAGACAGGTTATGATGGCAGGGAAGGTGACAATAAAATAATTTAAATGAAATCTAAGGGAGTATTTACAATTTGTACAAAAAACATCTATTTTTGCATCAAAGTTTCTAAGCATCCACTGACAGGATCACACTTATTTAGCTAAATAGGAGCCATT